TGTCGTAGGAGGATGGGAAGCAGGTGGTTGAGGGAACTGGACCCAGGAACTGAACCTAGGAACTGGTGTTCTTTTTCCCGAACACACCACTTTGATCCTCACTTTTCCTAGACAGGTGGTAGCATGGGCCCGTTCTGGTAATAGGCTGGTCACGCCATCCGCTGTGCATGGAAAAAATGAATTAAAAATATCATATCTTAATAATTTTATCATGAAAGATAATAGTCTTAATTATGAAAATGTAAATTCTGCCTAGAATCCTGTGCCAGAAGGCGGTGGCTCAAGAGCCACTGTGGTATTATAGACCTCTGACTTCTGTGTTTCGTCAAGAAAATGACATGGGACGAACCAGCCTGACATTTCTTCTTTTAGTGATGACAGCTTTTCATGTGTATATTCCTGGGGTATGACACCCATGTAGCCCTTGATGTTGAGAGGGGAGCAGGGCTGCTGAATCATATTACTACTACCAAGTTTCATAACAATCCTGGTTCAGCAACAAACGTCGACACGTTGATACATTGTCATCTGATGATGATGTATCATCTACTGTCGTGGAGTCTAGGCCTAGATTTGTTGTCATTGCTCCTGCTGAATGCGACACACTAACTTAAACCCTTCTGCAATCTCCAAAGGCATCCAAGGGATCTAAAGAGTAAAGAATGTCACGTGCCTTTGAGGTTGCTCAATCCCAGTGCAGTGTCCATGGAAGCATCAATCGGTTAACCTACCTTCTTGACAGCACTGTGTTAACACCAAGGTTGTCTTGGTGCCCAGGACACTGTATTCTACTTGAGTAATTATCAGGGACCACGCTCGTTGTCTTTCAGACATGAGCGAAGAGGGTATCACAGCTGAGTTGACAAGTCAAGGAGTTACTGCTGTCAACCATTTTTACAAACAACACAAAACTGTCAATATAACCAACAGCTATCTCTTCACTTTTTCACTTTCAGATCCTCCAGTATATAATGAACAACAAAAGTTCCTGTGACATTAAATAAGAATTAATGCAAAGTTATGTTTTTTAGCAAATCTGAAACAATTTCGGTTTGCAACAGATAAAAGACTCCTGTAAACGTTCCAATGGTTTAATTTGCCATACTGACTTCAGAAAATGCGTGATTTCATTAAAAACATGAACATGCCAAAACGCCAATTTACAAATCAATAGCATGTGTGTCCACCTCTGGATACGATGCAAGCAACACATCTTCGTCTCGTGGAATGGACCAGGCGTCGCACAAAGTCCTGTGGGATATCTGTCCATATCTGCTGGAGCATGTTTCGAAGTTCCTGGAGTCTGTGGAACACGTGGTTGACGTCGAAGGCGCCGATCCATCTCATCCCACATGTGCTCGATTAGTGAGAGATCAGGGGAGCGAGCCGGCCAGGGGATGACATTCACGTTGTTTTGTTGAATGGAATCCTGAACAAGTCGAGCAATATGAGGCCGGGCGTTGTCATGTTGAAAGGTAATGCCTGGGCCATGACGACGCAAAAACGGTAGAACAACAGGGCCGATGATCTCGTCGCGGTAGAGCTGTCCATTGAGATTTCCCTCTACCACTATCAAACGGGTCCTCTGTCTTTCTGTAATCCCACCCCATAACATAACGCTGCCGCCCCGAACCGATCTTTCTCCATGACACAATGATTGACGTAACGTTCACCTCGACGTCAGTACACTCGAATCCGTCCATCGCTGTGGCCGAGGTGAAAACGAGACTTGTCAGTGAATAGAACTTGTCCCTACTGCATGGCCGTCCAGGGTAGACGCTGTCTGCACCACTGTAGACGTCTTCTGGCGACAATCCCTGCACATCTGAGGCGACGACGTACGGTTTGTGACGATATTCGTCGAAGGCCAGGGATGCTTCTTGCAGTCACTGTTGCTGGCTGGAATCGATTTCGTAGGTGTTGTTCGAATCCAGTTGTCTTGTCGATTATTGGTTACGCATGGCCTGCCACTCCGAGGATGGTCTCGGACTGCCAACGTTGCCATAAACACCAAATTGAGTTTCTGTGGACGTAAAATTGTCTTGCAACATCACGTTGACTCGATCCTGCTTCAAGCATACCAATGGCTCGCAGACGCTCATTTTCGGACAGGCGTGGCATTTCGTAATGTTGAATAATTGCGTAATTTTGTTGTTTTTCTGAGTGGTTGTTGTCAGCACGATGCTAAACAATGCATATGGAATCCCGTTAACGCACATGTTTTTATACCCATTCTTGGGTAGTGAAATGCATGGGGCTTGCATAAAAGTCAACTTTTGAATGGAATGCATCCTTTTCTGTAGCAGTTGCGTTTTTGTGACTTGATTCCATACATGTAAGTACCCGTTCAAAGAGAACCGTTTGAAAAGCGTTCCTATCGTCATGGTAGAATGGAGATAAACCTACTGTGGTTTGGAATTTTGGGTAGTAAATAAATGTCTGCATCAACTGTAGATACTATCAAGACGAGCACTAATGCTTCAATGCTAAAAACATATATCTTCAGAAAAGCGTCTCTACAATGATATATCCAAATAAAAACGCATCAAAGCTGATTACAAAGCAGTACTCTCTTTCACAAACGCTTTGTGTCAACCAAGATATTCAAAGGATACTGGGGGGCACGGGTGGCCCAGTCGTCTTTAGAAGGCGCCGCGATTCGCTGTGCAGAGTTGCGTCCCTTGGGCACGCCAGAAACCTATGATTGTGGATTCGAAACCCGGTTCGCCCCGATTATGTTTCTAGGTTTGTCAGCACCATACCCGTGCTCGTGGGTTTCACCGAAGTGGTAAACGTCTGGGACCTGCATCACTTCGGGCTTTCCTCCCACATTAAGCTGACACGCCGTGATATAACTGGAATACTGTTAAAAGCGGCGTTAAACCCAACTCACTCACTCACTCACTCACTCAAAGGATACTGTGTAGTGACAAGCCATATGTGTACAGCACAAGAGGGCATCACGTGTTAATGTTTGAAGGTCACGTGACAATAAGAAGGCGGAAGAAACTGAATACAGGAAGGAAGTTTCCTTTCATTTCTTTATTTTGTTGATTACAATTTCAGATATTGTTACATGAAAAAGATAAATATAAATATTCTCCCAACGAACTTCTTCAGGCAATATCTCAGGAAATTATCGGCATATGGTCATTGGCAATATGTACCAATAGATTACCTTCCACAGACATAGGTCGTGATAGACGGTAAGTTATTCACTTGAGGTTTGATATTTGTTGTGCGTAGTTTTCGTTCATAATTGATGGTTAATATTTTATCTATGACTATATTTCATGAGACTCCATTAATATGATTTTGATCGTTCTCAATAACGTGTAAAGTGTCAATTTATAAAATGTAACTCGCGAACCTGCTTATTCCTCCTCAGATGCCATGACATGATGCAGACAACTTTAGTCAAGCCTCTGCACCAAGTTAATATACTGAACCAAATTAAAAACTTCACAATCCTAAAATTTTAACATTTTGACCAGTTATCAGTGTGGGCCCTTATCGTGTATTTAAACAGTAAACGTATTGTCTTCAGATAACACCCGTTTTTGTGCAGGTGAATCGATCAAAATCATGTGCACAGCACTATAGTGGCAAAAGTGTTTTTTCACCTACAACAGGTCACGTGACCATAATACCGCACGTGTTTTCAGCCATACTTGTTAGCAGTCATTAACAAAAAAAGGAAAAACACAAGAAAACAAAAGTCTTTACGGCCATTTGTCATGCCACGCCTTTCAAATGTGCAACGTGAACGTGCCATCGGCATGTTGCAGACGGGAACGTCCGTAGCTGAAGTCGCAAGGACGATGGGTTGTAGTCGACGGACTGTTTATGATTTACAGACGTGTCTACAGCAAACGGGTACCACCGCTGACCGCCCTCGGCCAGGTCGACCACGTGTGACGTCACATGCAGAGAATCGTCAGATTGTCTTACGTCACCTCCGGCCTTGACGGCTACATCAACCAGAAATGAACTGTTTAGGGGTAGACTGAGTGCGCAAACTGTTCGAAACCGTCTGAGAACTGCTCACCTTCAAGCACGACGGCCATACTGCGGGCCGATTCTGACTCAATTACACAGACGTCAACGTCAATTGTGGGCACAGCTACACTTACGATGGACTCAGAGGAATTGGAATCAAGTCGTCTTCAGTGATGAATCCCGATTTAATCTTCGATTTGCTGATGGTAGGGCGGGGTGTGGAGGCGCCGTCATGAACGTTACGCCCAGTGTTGTGTACAGGAAGTTGACAGATTTCAAGGCGGAAGTGTCATGGTGTGGGGTGCTTTCTGTGGCAATGTACGTTCCAGGCTTCTTGTCATCCGTGGCAACCTCAACGCTGATGCTTACCGCGACCAGGTACTGGCACCAGAACTTCTGCCTTTTATGGCAGCACATGGACCCGGTTTGATCTTCCAACACGACAATGCCAGACCCCACACAGAAATTTTGACAAGGAATTTCCTTCAGAATGCGGGAGTCAACGTCATGGACTGGCCGTCAAGGTCTCCCGACCTCAATCCCATCGAACACGTCTGGGATGCTTTTGGCAGAAGTCTGCGCACTTTCCAGAACCACCCACAGAATTTGCAAGATATTGGCACCATTTTGCAGCAACAATGGCGTCGTCTTCCCAATCATGTGTTCACAAGCATCACAAGGTCCATGCGGAGGCGTTGTGTGGCAGTTGTCAACGCACATGGTGGCCATACACGCTACTGAACTTGCGTGCCATCAGATTCTCGTGCTTGGGACTTATGATTTAAACTGTTGATGTTATTACCGAATACCGTAGGTGCTTGGAACAGATTATGGTTACCACCGTTAATTAAAATCCTTCTTTGGACATTAATGAGTAAAAATTACCCTTCTCTGATACATTTGTCCGTTGTATATCATATATAGGATTACGTTTAAAAATGTGAAGTTTTTAATTTGACTCAGTATATATAAGCGACAAAAACATTTTCATAATCATAAGAACGCTCTATAAAGAGTCCATGTACGATTCCGAATATACTATAAGCATGTGGTCATGAATCACTATCAAATAGTGATGATACAAGGTGAAAAGATGAGCATGTCCTGTCCCACCGGTGGCACCGTCTCCGAGTGGTCTCTATACATGCAGCTACTTACCTGTTTTAATTACAGAAAGAATGTAATCTGCATGATACATGCATGTCTGTACAGAAAGTGAGACTTACATAAACAACCTCCCTCTCTCGATAAGAAACGAACAAACTCAAAGACGTCCAAGACGAGCCTCTCGTTAAATTTTAGGACTTGAACACAAGGTTGAAATATGGTATGAAGTCAAACCAGTTGGGGTTAATTTCTGTCAGAGGTAAACATCGACTGGGAATAGAACGACTGAAGAGTGATGACTATTCTTCTGATCTCAAGACTGCAAATAAGAGTCGCTCGTACCGTAGCACAATAAATTACACATTTACTCAAGAAAAGATATGTTAAATATCTATAAAGCAAATGCGACCTAAACATTCGAGGTACCGGACTGTTGGTACCACTTGATTCAAGTTAATCACGTGTTCTGAATAGGACTATATGCCACCACTTTCACGTGGTAGCCTTCAAAATTATGATAGTTTGGGGGACAATCTGTATTCACGATGTCCAGATAACCAATCAGGCACTTCACACCGTACAGATGGTCGCGGAACAATGTCTACATTCGATCCCCAATAATCTGAAAAAGAACGACAAATAAATTTTATAACAAACTTGATATTTTATTAATTTTATTTAGGAATGTACTTCCTATCGAACATTTTAGAAATTAGATACAGAAAAAACCTGCAATCCCATTAAAATCAGATCTGTTACTTCGAAACGATACCTCTATGCATGAAGATCTGAGGACACGTTCGCGGAAGGACACGACGAGTAAACTTCTAATGAATCAATCAGCGTGCAGGCTTCTAAATTCTTGTTCCGATTGAGCGTAGCATTCAGACCATCATATTTGATTTCTGTATCTCGAAAACAACGTTAATCGGCTTGTGCCGAACATAAATGAGACCATTATATTGTTGTGGACATTTCTTCACGTTCGTTTCCGTTTGTTAAAATCGAAATTTTCGAATCGAGGCGGCTTAATGACATTCAAATGTTTTAGAAAGCTGACTTTTGATTGGCCCAAGAACCTACACATCCTTTAATTTGATTGGACCGTCAAGTATCGATCAGGGTTAACCTGACTGTACCTTCTATGCAGGCCTCTTCACGCAGAGAGGTACGGGATGAACGAGTTTTGAATGTGCCTATATCAGCTTACCAGGCAAACCCACACTATAATCCACGGAGGAAAGTTTATTGTGATGCAAAGATGCAGGAGGTGGTTGACAGGTCTGCAAATAATGGAGACATCTTACAAACATACATGAAAATACACTATGATGAAACCCCTAACGAGAGCGACGAAATGTTGAATTAGCCATCAGTCTACCATGACGGACAATAAAAAGAAAATCATTGGATGATGAGTTTTTAGACTGATTGTGATTTTGGACAAGGGCACATAATCATGAAATTCGACTAAGATGACATGATGTCTGAATGAAAATAATTTTGAACATCCGATCCCGATGGTGCGCAAACATGTGCTAGGGTGGTTGGTGATGAGTGAGTGAGTTAGGTTTAACGCCGCTTTTAACATTATTCCAGTTATATCGCGGCGTGTCAGCTTAATGTGGGAGGAAAGCCCGAAGTGATACAGGTCTCAGACGTTTACCACTTCGGAGAAACCCACGAGCACGGGTATGGTGCTGACAAACCTAGAAACATAATCGGGGCGAACCGGGATTCGAACCCACAATCATAGGTTTCTGGCGTGCCCAAGGGACGCAACTCTGCACAGCGAATCGCGGCGCCTTAGACGACTGGGCCACCCGTGGTTGGTGATGAGAGTAAAACAATGCTTACCGTTTCTCATCAACAATCTCCATCTGTTGTGCCACGATGATCTCAGTTTGTGACGGCTGCATCATCGTCTGCAACGTCAACACGATTGAAATACCAAAACATACTAAAATGCTTTTAGAGACTTTAAAACAAAATGTAATAATGTCACTGTTTTATAAAATCACTCTAAAATCAAAATTATGTTTGCTGAGTTACATATACAATAAGGACGATTTAATCTGATAAGAAATATTCATGAATTTATGTTTGAACTTACCAGACAAACCCAGACAACAATCCATGGGAAAAAGTATAGCGTGATGCAGAAGTGAAGGCAGTGGTTGACAGGACTGGAAGGGTTGTGACAAATAATGAAACAGTAAATGAGGTTTCCCAATGAATTGCGTTAATCAGTAGTCGGGGATATTGATTATAGTCCCCATGTTGACAACTTTATCGCGGGAGTGATCAGACTACTCAATGTGAACCACAGTCTAACGTGATCATGTTCAATAAAAATATTTGAATAATATTGAATTAAGCATTTCAATATCTTAAGTGATTGAGGTTGTTATCATTACTATTTGATAGTGATTCATAAACACATGCTCATGATATAGCAGGGTTTGGCAAGCAGTGTGAGGAGGAGGGGGGTTCCTGTTGTTGTTGTTGTTGTTGTTGTTGTTGTTGTTGTTGTTGTTAAAGCAATGACGAAAGTGTTCTTTCGGGAGAGTTGAATGGCCCTGAAAAGGGCCGTTTGGAGAAGAATAAAATCTGGAACGGGAACGGGAACAGGAACGGAAACTGCATCCTAGGAAGGCGGGGGAAGCTTCCTCATTCGCGTTGCTCTGATTCGCATTAGCATTATCGCACAGAGAGTGGCAGAAAGTAGTAGCTGCCACGTTCTACTTGCGTCTCACCAGCCCGGTCAGCTTGAGGTAGGCGCAGTGAGGGGACCACTTGAGGTGTTCCACCCAAGGATCGTCGTGGGGAGCCCATCTTCTTAGCTGCATGCCGCAATGAAATCCCTTTTCAAGGCCACCAAACTCTCCCAAAAGAATACTTTCATTATTGCTTTGCCAACAACAACAAAACAAAAGAACCCTCCTCCTCCTCCTCCTCCTCCTCCTCCCTCTGCTTACCAAATCCCATTGCCCACGATAGCCTTACTTGCTTCAGTGGAGGATTTTACGTGCGCTTTTTACGTCCTCCTCCTCCTCGCCCACCTTGGAGGGAGGCGAACGCCTCTCCGGAACCGAACGTGCCGCCATCTTGGAGGCATGCGCACGCCCTCCCGGAAACGGACGTGAGGACATCTTGGAGGTGCACGCATGACCCTGCATGCCCCTCTTCGCGCATCCGGTAAGGGGAGATAACCCTTGCTGGCTTGCGACCCCGGGTACGGTCCTGCACTACTGGTGTTTGCCGGGCATGTGTCTAGTTTTGACAACAGGGCGAATATGGGCTTGGAAGTCACGATAATAGGTTTCTTGAAGGTAGGCCTAAGGGATGCAACTCTCAATTGTAGCACGTCAGACGACGAGATAGCCAGTGCCCTCCCTTCATTGTTGGTTATCCTAACTTGCACATACTGATTCTATGGTTTGAAAGAGTTACTCATACTGATACTTACTCGTTTTGTTGAATAACCACCGATCTTCTCACTCGGGCGATCATATTGGTATTTTGCAGCTGCATCATCTGTAAAGTTATTTAGATTGAAGTACTGACATCAGTATTCACAATAGATGGCCAACTAACAAATGAACACAGTATTATGTGCACTAAGCTAGATACTTTCCCAACATATAAACAAAGTTTCAACATGAAATCGTGAAATACACATGTTATCAGTACGTTTCCTGATACAGTGAGTCGGAATTATTACTCTAACTTCAAGATAACAGTCTCTTTACTATTCATCAGAAACGCCATTCAACATCAACCAAAATCAGTAGGCACAGGTGCCTCAGAGGTTTAAGGCACCGCAATTCGTGTTGTGCTTGTAGGGGTGCCAGAATCGGGAAAACGTTCATTCGCATACTAAACTGGGCGGCAAAAGAAAGTATAGGTCGAGTTCCATGATCGATAAAAAAAATAACAAAGAAGAGGTTTTGTTGTGACTTATAATATAATTTAGGGAGGGGTATCAAATGATTGATCAAGCACAGTTTGAATGAAATTGTGCAATCACAGGTAATGTAAGCTCAAGGTAAACAATGGTGGGGTAAGAAATTTCATTTTCAAAAGTTGTCTGAAATGTCACCAAAAAATTGTCAGACACACCACAAGTTCATTGTCGACACAGTTGCTTTCAATAGCGTGTATGACCTCCAGCTGCCTAAATGCATGCTGTAATACGCCGCCACTTCGATGACGTCAGTCTTCTGATGACGTGGACTGGAATCCGTTGCCACTCGTCTCTCAGGGCCTGCTGCAATTCTTGTCTGTTGACGGGAGGCTGATGGCGTGCTCCAATCTGTCTGTCAAGATTGTCCCACAGATGTTCAATAGGATTCATATCGGGTGAGTGGGCAGGCCAGGGCAAAACGTCAACGTTCTGCTGGTTTAGATAGTTCCGAGTCAGTCTTGCAGTATGGGGCCTGGCATTGTCGTGTTGAAACAATGTCCCCTGCTGTTGGTTTTGTAAGAACGGAAGCACAACTGGCTGTAACACTTGATCTCTATACTGCGTTCAGGTTTCCCTGTATAATCACCAAATCAGTCTTCTGATCTCCACAAATACCGCCCCACGACATGACACCTCCCCCGCCGAATGGATGGACCCCTCGAATACACTCCGGAGCCAAACGTTCACCTCTGCGTCGATAAACTCGTTCTCTGCCGTCATTTCGAAACAAGTTAAACCGACTTTCATCAGTAAACAGCACTCGACGCCAATTTCTCACTTGCCAGCCTCGAACCTGCCTCGCCCATCGCGGTCTCAGGCGTCGATGTTGAGCGGTCAGTACCATTCCTCGGAAAGGACGATATGCTCGGATTCCAGCAGCACGAAGTCGTGATAGTACCGTACGTTGGCTGTTGCTGCCGTTGCCGTCGCCGTTACGAATCTGTTTCGCAGGTGAATGAGCCGTATCTGACCGTCTTCCAGTGGTGTTGTCACTCGGGGTCGTCCGGATCTAGGCAAGTCCTGTGTCCTCCCTGTCTGCCTGTACCGTTGAATCAGCCTGGCTACTGTCAATGGTGTACAACCAAACCTTCTGGCAATTTGGACATGTGTTGCCCCCATTTCGGCCATACCGATGGCTCTCTCTCTCTCTCTCTGCTCCTGTGACAGTCGTGGCATTTCTTTTGTGTGTTTTCATCACGTGTGGTTATACCCTGCAGACGAACGCATGTATACAGCTAACATGCACGTGCAGTTTATGCCATAGGCGGGAAACCTGTTTCACCATTTTTTGTCACCGCACGAGCGCCGTCAAAGGTGGTGCGTTCGGGTGAGGTGCTTTTGGGTATCTGTTCCTGGGCAGTCATATTCCCAATACCCACTTTCCACTTGTTATCGCTGTTTTAAGGAAAATTACAAATTACCAACCTATACTTTCTTTTGCCGCTTAGTTTAGATTCGTTCTGATAATGCTCCTTGGTCTACAGACAACTTCTCCCCAGAGAATAATCAGTCTCGATATCTGCCACAACAGATTCCACAGGGCGTAATAGAGAAGTTAGTGATATAGAGGATTAACCACCGTGTTTGGTTGTTACCGAAAATCCTACACACGAGTGATTAACCTGTCACGATTAGAACGAGGCTTTGCCGAGTTCTAATTGTGGCAGATTAATCACGAGTGTGTAGAGTTTTCGGTAACAACCGAACACAGTGGTTAATCCTTTTCCTCCCATAACAATACGCCATAAAAAAGTCGAGCTCGTAGTTGAAGATTTCCCGTGTTTAGTAACCACTCGGGATTCCTCCCAGCCTCGTTTTCGAATATGCTCAGTGAGACAACTGCACCATAACCAGGTAAAAAGGATCTAGCGAAGACAACTCACACGAGTTTTCCATGACAGGCAAGCCACTTGTTAGCATTCATGTTATGTTTTTTTGTTAACTATTAAAAGCTGATGGGAGTAACGTTTTGAGAATTAGTAATGTGATTTGATATTTGTTAATGGTTTTGGATTACTCGGCCCATAACTTTATTTGCATTCGTCTGGCCGTGACTATCATTCTCAATGCGCAACACTAAATAGGCCCACCTTTTTAGTGTATGTAAATACATTATTCGTTTATTTGTTCGCTAGAAACAAATGTTTTAAACCCAATTAAGAGGAAATTAAATATTGTCTTGTATATTGTGAAATATTGTTAACGAAAAACAAGGGCACAAGGAACTGTCAGCAGAATTGATCAGGCAAGATTCTATAAATACCAACTCAGGCAACTGATCAGCTGATTACATCTTCTCAAATCCATCAATGGATTGTACTATTTTTAGACGAATTTTCCTCTTTAAAACTAATTTTACAGTGAATAATTTAATATTAAAATGATGATTATTTCGTGTCATAATTTTTTTAATTTTTTTTGGTTCCCAAACATGGTGAGCACATTTGTTTTTATTATATAAAAAAAAAACTTATTCAGTGGACAATTTTTCTTTTGAACATAATATTTAACATCATGACACCAAAAATGTTACTAAATGAGTCATCTAATTTCCCCATATTTGTGAATGACAAGAAAAAATGTGAATTTGACAAGCACAATAATTTATCGTGTGTGAAACATAAATACATATGATATATGTAAACAATGAATTATCATTTCAGTAGCTCTACAAATATTTGCATTTTAATACCCTTGTAATTTTACATTGTTATTTTACTGCAACAGTTACCTCCAAACTTTATTATTTTGTTATTTTATCAGATTAGAAGTTAAGACTTACTGATAATAGGTAATTTAAAATTAACATTTACTTCTTTTTATCTTCATGAAAACAAGACACAACAATGAATATGTATTTTAGTGACCTGTTCATATGTAAAAAAAAATTGTAAAAAGTATCAAAATTAAAATTAGACATTGCTAATGTATAGAAAAGAGGTTTATGGTAAAATGTTATACGAAGACCTCTTGTTGGTCATTTCTTCATCATCCATAAATTTGAGTTTTTCTTTACTTACCATGTTCTGAAAATTTACACATGAAAATAATTTAAGGTCTCTGATTAAAATAGCGACACAGCTTTCCACTCCCAGGCAGCCAATTAGATCATGTGAAAAAAATAAACCACTGTAAACCTTGTAATGGGAGAATAATAAATAAAAATACATTTCTTATTTTGTCATATGTCCAGTTTATCATCTCAAGAAATGCTAAATAATTATCATTAAAATTAAGCTAGCTATGCATATTGGGGCTCTTTATCTGCTATGATATAATAACAATTGCATTATTATAGAGGTGTTTTTTTCAGTATTCATGGTAAATAATAAATCTTTGGTTTAAATAATATACTTGAGTGAGTTAGTATGGTTTTACGCCGCTTTTAGCAATATTCCAGCAATATCACGGCGGGGGACACCAGAAATGGGCTTCCCACATTGTACCCATGTCGGGAATCGAACCCGGGTCTTCTGCGTGACGAGCGAACGCTTTAACCACTAGGCTACCCGACCGCCCCAGAATATACTTGAGACAAACCTAATTCTACATGTCTTAATACTCTGTATTGTCTGTTAATTCTGAAATAATTAACTGTGATATTGAGTTTCTACTTAAAACTAATAATATGAAATTCATTTTGAGATTATTTCATCCTATCTAAAATACAAAAAATATATTTTAAGATGCAAAAAATGTACATCATTGTTGAAAAAAAAAAGAATATTGTTTTTGAAAAAAATACCTAAGGTTGATTGGTGCCCACCATCTTTATCCTCGTCATTTTGTCTGCTTCCTATAATAAATCAAAATAGTAAAGAAAAAATATAAATACATATATTACCTTCTGGAGTTTACTTAGATTTAGGTATGACTTAATACATTCAAGTTTAAACGGGGTAATGCTGTTTTTTCATAATGAGTTTCTTAATTTCCTGAGATAGTGTGTTTAAATAATTGAAATCTTCATGTTTCAAAGATACCAAATAATTATAGGCCAAAATACATTAATTATATTGATCTGGATAAACTCCACCTGTTGAAAGGGGAAACATCTGCTGTGGTTGCAAAACATCTTGGTCGTGAGATGTACGGTCCGTCCGGCAAAGATTGATCGTTTCCTGCATTTAAATTGAGTATTGCTTTAGATCCAAATTATCTGAGTGTTTATTTTCTCATTCTGCAACTGAATCTGGTACATTGGGAAGCCGAAATTCTCTGATATATCTCCTCATATCACACCCCTCCTACCCCCACAAGTTTTCTCTCAGTCACCAACTTTGGGCAATGGAAACATCGTCACTACGGAAATGTTTCGCCAGCTGGGGATTTCCTGTACTAGACGACCTCGGGTATCCCCGATCCGAAAATAGTTCCGTCAATTATTTTTAGCCTGCCAATCAAAACGCGATGACACAACTCTCCACTCTCAGCCAGCCAATCAGATTTGGTGAAAAAAATAAACCACTGCGAATAAACCACTGCTGGCGATTGAAGATCAAGTCCTGTTATGGGAGAAGACACGTACATGAATTGATCGCTTAAAATCAGTAATCGGGTTTATGCGAAA